TGCTCCAGTCCACGCTGCTCAGTGAGCAGAGGACGAGGAAGCTGTTTCCTGCTCTGTTTTCCTCTGTTGCGGGCGGGCGCTGCGGGCGGGCGCTGCGGGCGGCGCTGCAAGTACCGGTACCGTCCAAATGCAGTATAGTACCATTTTAAATGCCTCAGTACCGCGGTACCATACTAGTACCGGTATATCGTGCAACACTACAGTGGTCCATTTCAAATAGAAAATAGCTTCACATTCCCTAAACAAAAGGACGGTGGAAGGTGTCAACATGACTATTTTAACAGAGTCTTAGTCAATGGAGAAAAAGTCAGAAGAAGCTGGCTTATGTACTCTAAAAAAGATGGTAGCTTGAACTGCTTCTGCTGCAAACTTTTTTCTAAAAGAGAGTACAAACTGAACAGGGAAGGACTTAAGGACTGGAAAAACGCAAGTCACTTGCTCAAGGTCCATGAGGATAGTCAGGAGCATAATGCTCACATGGCAACATGGAAGGACTTGGAGGTCTGTTTTGCAAAAGGGCTCACAATAGATAAACAAGAGATGGCACTTGCTGAGGCTGAGAGAAAAAGGTGGCGTGACGTTCTACATCGATTGGTGGCAATAATTCAGTCCTTAGCTGAAAGAAACATGGCTTTTAGGGGTTCTACAGACACATTAAATAAACCAGACAATGGAAATTTCCTGAAAGAGGTGGAGCTTATGGCCAAATTTGATCCAGTGATGAAGCAGCATGTCAGTAGGGTGGAAAGTGGAGCTGGCAGTCATGTACATTATCTTGGCAAAACATTCCAAAATGAACTGATAGACTCCATCAGTTCTAAAATAATAGAACACATTGTGACAGAGATCCAAATATCCAAATATTTCTCCATCATTTTAGACTGCACTCCTGATCTGAGTCATAAGGAACAGCTCTCTGTCATAGTCAGGATAGTGTCACAAGAAGACATTCCTCAAGTAAAAGAGCATTTCTTGGGCTTTCTTGTGGCAGAGCAGTCAACAGGAGAACATTTGTCATCTCTAATCCTAAAAAGGCTAGAGGAACTTAATATCCCATTTGAGGACTGCAGAGGCCAGTTCTATGACAACGGCGCTAATATGAAGGGAAAAAATAAAGGTGTTCAGGCAAAGTTGCTTCAGCTGAACTCAAGAGCTTTTTATGTCCCATGTGGTGCCCACACTTTAAATCTGGTAGTAGCTGATGCTGCAAAAAGCTCACCAGATGCCCTTGGCTACTTTGGGCATTTGACAAAGTTATTCAAGCTCTTCTCAGCCTCCACCCATAGGTGGGATGTCCTCTTGAAATATGTGAAAATCACTCTGAAATCATGGGCTGAGACCAGATGGGAAAGCAGGATAAAAAGCATTGAGGCAGTAAGGTATCAGGCTGGGCAAGTCAGAGAGGCTCTTCTGGAGGTGAGGGAAAAAACTGCAGACCCTGTGGTGAGAGTTGAAGCCCAGTCTTTGGCTGAGGAGATTGGATCCTATCGCTTTTGCATTTGTACAGCCATATGGTATGACATTCTCAGCAAGATCCAGCATGTCAGTAAACTGATGCAGTCACCCTCCATGCAGCTTGATGTGGCTGTCGACTTGCTGAAGAAAACCAGAGATTCCCTCACCAGTTACAGAAACACTGGATTTTCTGATGCACAGACAATTGCAAAGAAGATGTGTGAAGAGATGAATGTGGAGGCTGAACTCAAACAAAAGCATTTGAGAACCACAAAAAGGCACTTTGGCTATGAGTCTCCAGATGACCCCATACAAGATGTACTACGAAAAATGGAAACCACATTTTTTTAATGTGGTCGTGGATACTGCCATCTCTTCACTTGATGAGAGATTTCAGAATCTTGGAGAGGTGAATAATACGTTTGGTGTGCTCCTCGATTTCCCCAACTTAGAAGAAGAGGACCTGCTACAGAAGTGTCAAACCCTAAGTACTGCTCTGAGCCAGCCGGACATTGATGGCACAGAACTTGCAAAGGAAATGAAGAATTTCCCACCACTGCCATCAAACAATATGACAAACATGGAACTTTTGACCTTCCTGCATGAGAAGAAGCTGGTAAAGTCTGATAAATTGCCTCAAGTGCTGTCACTTGGGTCAGGACATTTAGGATTTAAGAAATATCTGAACGTTTGAAGTTTAAAAGACATGAGCTCATCAGACGACTGTAGCCTGTTCTTCATCTCCGCTTAAGGCTAGCAGCTTCAGGCTACAGTATTAGCCACTACTAGCATAATACATAATACATGTGGGTAACATAGATCCTAGATTTTGGCAAGGAAAAAAAATGTATGAAATATAAAAGACCACATCTCTGGTTCTGCTTTATGAATTTTGATGCGTTTAAATTGCCTATTGTTGTTCTGAAAATGTTAAAGCAATGAAATACTAAAACAGAGCAATCTGAAAATACAGCAACAGCTTAAAATATAAGTATTAGCTTTTGCACAATTCATTTACTTTTATCACAAGTTTGGTGTATCAAATGCAGATGTTTTTAAGGGGGCGACTGTGTTTCAGTGGGGACAACGGTCATCTCCTAACTGGAGGGTTGGAGGTTCGAATCTCGGTGCCTGCAGTCCACATGTCCAAGTGTCCTTGGCCAAGACGCTGAACCCCCAAGTTGCCCCCGATGGTTAGAGCCATCGGTGTGAGTTGGCACCGCAGATGGCTGCCATGGTTCTGTACTGGAAACAAATTCCTTGTGTGTAACATACTTGGCCAAATAAAGGTGATTATCCTTAAGCAGTGCAGCTCTGTGCATCCCTTGTGTGAACTTTCTTGTGTTTATTGAGCTTTGACCAGCTGGAAAACTGTTCTCCACAAGCACTGCATTTGTAAGGCTTCTCGCCAGTATGGGTCCTCATATGTCCTTTCAGGTCTGTTCTGTGCCCAAACTGCTTGTCACACACACTGCACTTATACGGCTTTTCACCCGTGTGTGTTCTGATGTGCCTTTTCAGTGTTGTCCTGGTAGCAAATTTTCTCTTGCAGTAGGAACACTTAAAGGGCTTTTCCCCAGTATGAACTCGCAGGTGATTTTTGAATGACGAGGAATCTGCAAACTCCTTTCCACAGTCGCTGCATGTGTAAGGTTTTTCACCTGTATGAATTCTCAGGTGCTTTTTCATATTCACACGTGAGCTGAAGCTTTTGTCGCATATGTTGCATTTGTACGGCTTTTCCCCAGTGTGAACCCTAAGATGCAGGTCGAGATTATAACGCCTGTTGAATCCGTTTCCACAAACATTGCATTTGAAAGGCTTCTCAACAGAGTGAATTACCAGATGTTTATTCAAATCCCAACTCTCCCTGAACATTTTTCCACAAGTGTCACATTTGAAAGTCTTTTCAACTGTGTGGGATTTCATATGAAATTTGTAGTTTTTGAAATTAGTCATAACCTTACCACACCGGTCACATGTGTAAGGGTTTTCATTATTCTCAATACTACCACCTGATGTTATATTCTGATCTTTGCATCTCTTGTTTGGTAGTGGGTCAGTACTTCCATATGATGTTGTTTGTCTTTTACGTGGTTCCTTACTTTTTGTAGACTCTGTGTTTCCATCTGTACAGTTCTGATTTCGTGTTGGTGTGGTACTTTGAGTAGAAGTAATTTTCCCATGCTTGTATTTCTTATTTGGAGTCGACATGGTACTTTTGGTTGACGTCTTCTCATCACTGGGTTTCTTAATAGGTGATGACTCAGTACTTTTAGGTGATGTGTTCTCACTGTTACAATTCTTATTTGGTGTTTGGTTTGTACTTCTATTTGCTTTCTCATTCTGTGTTGGCTGGGTGCCTCTAGTTGTTTTCTCATCATTACATCTCTTCTTTGGTGTCATCTCAGTATTTCTAGTTGTTGCAGCCTCTTTGTTACATGTCTCATTTTGTGTTAGCTCAGTACTTCTGGTAGATCTTGTGGTCTTATCATTGCATTTCTCATTTGGTGCTGGCTCAACACTTACAGCTGAATTTGATCTCCCGTCTTGGCTTTTCTTTTTTGGTGTTTGTTCACTATTTCCTTTTGATGTGACACCCTCATGTGGTGTCAGGTTGGTGCCTCTAGCTGATTGTGGGGTCTTATTGTTACTTTTCTTGTTTGGTGTTACCTTGGTGCTTTTCTTTGCTGTTGTGGTTTTATCATTGGGTTTCTCATTCTGTGTTGGCTGAAAACCTCTAGTTGATGTTGTTTCCTCATTGTAGTGTGTCTTCTCTGGTGTCATCTCAGTACTTCTAGTTGTTGTGTTATCCTTGTTACATTTCTCATTTGGTGTTAGCTCAACACTTTCAGTTGTAGTTGGTCTCCCATCTTGGCATTTCTCATTTGGTGAAGACTCTCCATTTCCTTTTGATGCTGTGTTCCCATCATACTTCTCATGTGGTGTCAGCTCAGTGCTTCTAGCTGATGTTGTGTTCGCATCATTATATTGCTTATTAAGTGTTAATTCTGTACTTCTGGTTGATGTTTTATTCTCATTTGTAGGTTTCTCATTTGGTACAGGTTCTGTATTTCCATTTGTCGTTGTGTTCTCATTACATTTCTTATGTGGTGTTGTTTCAGAAGTTGCTGTTGATGTTGTGTTCTCATCATTTTGTTTTTTACTAGGTGTTTGCTCAGTAGTTAAAGCTGATGTTTTTTCATTATCGAGTTTCTCATATGATGCTTGCTCACTACTTGTAGCAGATGTAATGGTTTCATTGTTATATTTCTGCTCGGTACAACTAGTTGATGTGGTATTCCCACTGTTGTTCATCTCATCCAATGTTGGCCCAAATTCTGCAGCTGATGCTGTGTTCTCATCATTGCTTTCCATGTTGGATGCTGACTCAATATATCTACTTGGTGTTGCACTTCCATGATTGGGCACTGTGAGATCTTGGCTCTCAGATGCAGGAGAATTGGGAGAGAAAATCTCCTGGTCACAGTTTGGTGTTGCTACTGCAAAACTCTCCCTGTCAGATTCAGAGAATATATCTTTGCTTGAGATACTGGAATGTGGATCTTTATTTGTTGCACTCTGAGTCTGGTCAGGCTCCAAAGACTGAGACTGGTCACTAGAGACACTTCTCTCACAAGCCAAAGTTAAATTGGAGGCATCAGCCTCCTGGTGCTGTGTAAGCTGCTGTCGTTCCTGACTGATGCATATTTCCTCACGTTCCTGTTTAACCTGTGGAGGATCTGAGTCATCCAAACTGGAGTTTGGCTGCTGGTTACTGTGCTGCTGGTGGTTCAGGAGAACCTCCTGCTCTTTATGGATGGATGTTTGTGGGAGATCTAAAGGAAAGGACACAATGATAAAATGCTGCACATATTTAACCCTATATTTTTATTATCAATTGTGATTAAGCAAATCTAAACTCAAAACTACTGTTTTCCCCTTGACTTTTGTTTCCTCTATAGCTTACTACTTGTTACTGCACTGTAAGTGCTCTGTAGTCATGTTTCTGATCTTCTTATTTCATTTACTTGTTTATATTTTCATTTCATTAATTTTATTCCATGTTAACAATGCTTTATCTTTGTCTTAATTAATTTTATTCTAGTTGTAATGCTTTTCTTTGCCTATGTAAACCATTCTGAATTGCCTCTGTGTATCAAATGTGCTATTTAAAGAAAATTGCTTTGCCTGTAATGAATAGTGCAAATTGGAAACCCGGCCACCCTCCAAACAAAGCCTGGCATATTAGGGATATTAATAGCCTCAGTTTTTATACTTGATACTTTATTTTGGTTATAAATATTATCTAAAATAAAAATTATAATCTTGGGATGTTACAAAGCTACAGTAACCCCAAACCAATCTTAAAAACAACAACAAAGGAAATAAAGACTGTAACCACACTGACATTTTCACATTCCCAATTTTTAGCAGTGCAACATTTTGATCTGTAAAATCTTTCTCAGGCATGTCACCAATATGCAGGCTGTGCTGAACCAGCCAACACTGGAAAACTTATATAATCAACCAATTGATAAATGGACTAAAGGTTGCAGGTCTAGCCAGGTAGTACATTACGGCCTCTGAAGTGTAAAAGGTAAAAAGTAGTAACTCATAAAAGGCATTTCAAAACTGTATTAAGGATAGTATTTATGTAATTGTTTTAGATAATTTCCTCCATTGTTTGTTGTTGATACTGTAGGCAAGGCAGGTGGCCAGGCCTTTGTACCTGCCCTCTAGGGACAGCAGAAGAGGAAGTACTAGTAAAAGTAACAATACCAAAGTATATAAATAGTACTCTGTTACAGAATAAAGTTTTTCATTCAAAATGTTACTTAAGTAAAAGTACAAAACATTAGTATCAAAATATACTTAAAGTACAAAAAATAAAAGTACCCACTATGAAGAATAGCACATCACATTAATGCATCATATTACTGGACTACAGGCCCAGCTATTGATGCATCATTGCTTACATCACACTTAATGTTGCAGCTGGTAAAGGTGGAGCTAATTTTAACTAGCATGCCTTATAAATTTATAATCTAAATTACTGCTGGGTAGTTTGTGAATTTACCACCAGGGATCAATAAAGTCACTCTAGGCTATTTTGTTTGGTTAATCTGATTGTGAAAATAGCCAGTAACTAAAGTTATCAAATACATACAGTAGAGTAAAAACTACAATATTTAGGCCATATCTAAAATGTGGTAAAGTATGAAGTAGCACAACATAAAAATACTCAAGTAAAGCACCTCACATAAGGCATATACCTCAAATTTGTTCTGATGTACTTGAGTAAATGTACTTAGTTACTTAGTACTTAGGCTACTTTCCACCACTGCAGGGTATGACAGAGGTATAGCGTGACTTCCCCAAGTATGAAACGTAGACTAACAATAGGCTATGTAATAGTAGATCTGAATTTTGGTACACACCTCCCTCCGCTATTTTTGAGATTTTACCAACCTGTCTGGTGTAACTTTACATCAGGGGTTAACACGCTTTCCAGTAGTCTGCGTTGACGGGCAAGTTCCGTCTCGTAGTCCTCTATTCTGGTTTCAAAGGCTCCCAGTATCTCTTGAGCAGCCGCAGTCAGTCGATCACAGACAAACCTGCGCATACTTTGGACTGAAGACATCGTTGGGTTAAAACTGTAACACCCCTTCTCGCAGAAACTTCATAAAACTATTTCAGCAAACGCAATAAAACTTGCGTTGCTGGTTTTCTGTTTACTTCCGCATATGGATGTCAAACGAAATAAACGAGCCTACTTTGTCACACTGACACCTAGTGCACTGGAGTGTGCATTGTCGACAAGAACGAGATACTTTATGTTTCCTTCTGGAATAACTGCTGTGAAAACATAAAGCGGAAAGAATAATAACAAACAGTTCTCTTTCTAAATGATTCTCTTAAACCAAAATTCGGGTCAAAATACATTCCTAAAAAAAATCTCATCTCTCTCCTAAGTTTCTATTTTTAAAACAAAATCCTAAATATTTCCAATGAAGATACACACTTCATCTCCCACGTTTCAAACTGATTAATCCGATCTTTTATTTATGATATAGTCATTACTTATTTTCAACCATGTCCTTTCATTATATGTACAAATACGTTTACCTGCATAGAAAATGACTTATTACACTCCACTGAAGTGCCCCATATTCTGCTTTTCATAGATCACGGACCATCAGAACCAGAACAGAAAAGAACACTTTCTAAACCTGCTCTAGTAGGTACCTGCTTTCCAAGTACCATCTGTTCCATGGTTTGCAAATTGACGAGTATTTTTTGCAGGTTTCTTTGAGACAGTAATTATTCCTTCTTTATATACTCTATTAATAATAGCAATAGCATCTATTCTTCTGTATTTAAATGTTTCAACGTGATACAACATATTTTGTCATTATATTTTTTACATTTTTGATTCATGCTCCCAATGGAATCACAGCACTTCCTCCTCATTGGGCTTGTTTGTACTGTATCATATGGTTGAGCTTTTTTCACTAGTTGAACCACCCTTCTTCTATTCTTTGCTGATGTTTTGTTTATCCCACCATGGTACATTATTCTTTAGTTACCTTTACTTCTATAAATTGACTTATTTAATGCACAACCATAGCATTAGAGATATGATAACATAATATTATAAAAATGTGTTGATCTACAGCCACATGGATGAGCTAGACAAAAACAGCTGGATTAATCACCACTTACTTCCACCAGACTCTATATAATGTTACTCCAACATAAAGGGAACACACCTACAAGTGATGGTCGTTAATCTATGGCATGATGTTTACAGAAATAAGGCATTGTTAACACATAGGAGACATTTCCTTTTATAAAACTATTCATGGAAAAACAAACCACAAATGTTAACACAAACAAACAATTATCACTTCAGATGAGCTTTTTTCAGAACTCTACAGTCATTTCAGCTCAAAGGTTCCTCCTGTGTTCAATAAGGTATTTTTCACTGATCTTGCAAACATATGGCCATTCCTCTATGTGCATTCTCATCAATCAAAACCTTATTTGTATAGCACCTTTCAGTATTCATTCAATTCAAACTATTTTACAAAGACAGAAACAATAAATAACAATAATCTCATGTGGTTTTCAAGTTAAAAGCCTCTAACCTGTATGGCTTTTAATGTGATCTTTGAATTCTGCCATCTGACAGATTTCACACAGGTGTTGCAAAGCTACAGATTCTTGGGGGTGTGGATTCTCTTATGCCTTCTCAAACATGACGTGTCCTTGAATCTTCTCCCACAAGTGTAGCAAACATACGGCCTCTCACCTGTGTGGGTTCTTATGTGTCGTATCAAGACACTGCCACGTCTGAAATTTCTCCCACAGGTTTTGCACATAAATGGCCTCTCATCCGTGTGGATTTTTATATGAGCGTTCAGTCCGGATGTTGTCGTAAATTTTTTCCCACAAGTGTTGCAAAAATGTGGCCTCTCACCCGTGTGGACTCTCATATGACCTTTCAGGGTTGATGCGTGAAAGAATGTTTTCCCACAGGTGTTACAACAAAATGTCCTCTCACCTGTGTGGGTTATCATATGCCTTTTCAATGATGATGAGTCAACAAATCTTCTCCCGCAAGCCACACAAAAATATGGCTTCTCACCAGTGTGGCTTCTCAAATGTACAATCAATTTAGACAAATACTTATATGTTTTCCCACAGGTGTTACATTTGACAGCCTTTTTACCAGTATTAGTAATACACTGATTGTTGGGCATGGGAGAGCTGTCACTGTGATGTCTCTCATTTAATGATGGCTCTGCATTTGAAGTTGATACAGAGTCTCCATGGGTGGCTCCTTTATGATCTTGGCTCTCGGGTACATGGGGGTGGAGAGAGAGGAGCTGAAAATCACTGTTTGGTTCTGGCACCACAGAGCTTTTAACTGCCGTGTTCATTACAGACGCTTTCTCTGCTAAACTCATTGTTTCATCAGTATTCATGTGCAGAGTTTGTCTGGTGTCACTTTCCTCATATGTAGTTAATAAAAAGGTATCTGTCCCTTGCCTCTGTTCAAACTGCTCTTCTTCCTGGCTGGTGCAAAATTCCTCTTGTTCCTCTTTAACCTGTGGAGGCTCTGGGTTCTCTTGGGCCAGACTGGAAGTCCTCTCCTGGTTACAGAGCTGATGGTTAGCAAGGACCTCCTGCTCCTCCTTAAAGGTATATTGCTCTGGGACCTCTGGAGGGACAAATGGATACACGAATAAGTTATTGTGGTGAAAAACTAACATCTGAGAAATTAAATTTAGGTTTAATGCACCGGGCTCCTATACAGGTTAGTGTTTAAGACCAGGTTTCACAGACCTAGCCTGTGCAATGTTATGTCGGGTTTCCAAGCGATATCCAGCAGTTTGCGTTGACGAGCGATCTCTTTCTCGTATTCGATGACAGTTGTTTCAAAGAATTTGAATATTTCTTCAGCGGCAGCAGTTAGTCGCTCGCTGACAAACTCTCTCAAACATCGAACTGAAGGCATTGTAGCTGAATTATAGGCGCTAAAAATCTTTTCTAATACTTGCAGCTAACACTACTACCGCCGTGTTTTCTTCCGGTGAATGTTACACTATTAAGTTCCGACAGAGAAAGTCAATCAACTTATCGTTCCGCTTTAAATTGTTAAAAATGTACATTCACGTAATCTTGATTCTAGTTAGGATCGTTTCTATTTTTATTTTATATCTTTATCACTTTTACTTTATTGTTGTAATTTTATACTATTTTAAACTTGATTTTGTGAAGGGGCTGCAGAACCACTGCAGTTTCTCTTTGGACTTAATAAGTTAATCAAAGTGAAGTCTAAATACATACCATGGTAAAAAATAAAAAAAAACCCAGCATTTAAAATTGCAAAATAAAAAAAATGGTCCAGAGGAATAATTCAGAAAATTTGTATAGTATGAAACCCTAAAAGTACTCATATTGCAAAACAGCTCCTATCAGTAATATTTTTATACAAATTTTGATTTTAAATACAAATGCCTTAATGTGTGACATTTTATGTAGAGTAATACCTAGCTGAGGCTCTCCTGTATTTCCAATTTGAAATAATAGTTTATTGGATTCTTTTCAGTAAAGCAGTATCCCATATAGTAACTACTAAAAATGTCAAATAAATGTGGTGGAGTAAAAAAAAATACAGTATTTACCTCTGAAATGTAGGAAAATATAAGTGTAGGCTATGCAACAAAATGAAAATTTTTCAAATACAAATACCAGAATAATAAATGTTTTACCTAACACCAGCTGTGCTGAAACATCAAAACTGCATTTGTGTGGATTCTCATGTGGTGTGCCAAGCTACTGGTACATGCCGCTCCTCACTTTTTTTTTTTTTTACCCTTGTCCTCACCCAAAGGTAAAAAAAAATGCACATGCTGTGCTTAGATAAATGTGTAGAGAATTTATGACGGTGTCCATTTTGAGCAGTTTTGATTACCACTTGGCTAAAAAAAGAACACTTAAAAACATTACTAATCCAGTGAGGTTTGGAACCAAATCACTCAATATATCAACTTTGAGTAAAAAACAAACATTAGGCCTACATCATGGTGGACCAATCACAAACACATGAAAATACAAAATGAAAAGAAACACTGGATGTCATACAGCAACATACAGTAAGTGACTCAGCATTACAAGGTTTCTCAGCCCATCAAATACTTCACAATCCACTCATGTAATTAAGAGTATACAAATTATCAAAAAGAAAAACAGGTCTAGCATTTACATTTATAGAAACTATGCAACAAATGTGAACAAAGATTTTTCTGATATTTGGGAAGTTCCATTTATTTAGACAGGAATACTGATGCAAACAAATATGAGTAATGAACTATTACCTAGAGAGTTGTAGGTATTGCTCGATGGTTTCTTCTGGGTATAATAAGCCATACCTCGCTTCAAATGTATGACTGAAAACAAAACTTTCCCACAAGCTGCAATTATGACTCTTTTGACCTTGAGCCAACAAATCAGAATCTCATATTTTGCAAATACAACACTACTTGTCTCTATGTGAACTTCTGTGCCTTGCCAAATCTGACACTCGGAAGTATTTTTTCCCACAAGTGTTGCAGTGATATCGCTTGTCATCGGTGTGGGCTTTTCCAGTGTGGACTCTCAACTGACTACTAAATCTGAATGCTTCCCCACAAGTTGTACAAGTATATGGCTTTTCACCTGAATGGACTCTTGCATGGACTCTGTACTCACCCCTACGTCGAAACTCTTTGCCACACCATTTACAAGAGTATGGTTTCTCATCTGTGTGAATACGCATATGATTTCTCAGTGTTGATGGCAGACGAAATCCCTTTCCACACATGGTGCAGAGACACGGCTTTTCATCTGTGTGGGTCTTCATGTGGACTGCCAAGGTACCAGTAGATACAAAATTCTTTCCGCATATTTTGCAAGAAAACGGCTTCTCACCTGTGTGGGATCTCATGTGCACCACCAATTTAGGAGAATTTATGAAACTCTTCCCACATGTTTTGCATGAAAACGGTTTCTCGCCTGTGTGGATTTTCATGTGCACCACCAATCTACTAGAATTTATGAAACTCTTCCCACAAGTTTTGCAAAGATACGGCTTCTCGCCTGTGTGAGTTCTCATGTGGATCTTATGTGTGTTTTTAAATCTGAATTCTCTCCCACATATTTTGCAAGAAAACAGCTTCTCACCTGTGTGGATTCTCATGTGCACCACCAAACTACTAGAATATGTGAAACTCTTCCCACAAGTTTTGCAAAAATATGGCTTCTCGCCTGTGTGGATTCTCATGTGGTTCATCAAACTACTAGAAGATGCCAAACTCTTCCCACACGTTTCACAAGAAAACGGCTTCTCGCCTGTGTGGGTTCTCATGTGAACTATAAAACCACTTCTAAATCTGAATTCTCGCTCACATATTTTGCAAGAATATGGTGTCTCACCTGTGTGAACTCTCATATGTATATTTACTTGGTCCTTGCGCTTAAATGTTTTTCCGCAAATGTCACATTGAAATAACTGTTCACCTGTGCAAACATTTGGATTAATCGCTGAAATGGGAGAGATATACGCATTGTTATCGTGAAATGTGCTTTGGTGACAATTCTCCATTGGGTTGGGATCTGTATTTCTAATTGGTCCCGAGTCTACATGCATCCCTCTTTTGTGATCTTGACTCTCAACTACTTGAGATTTATGGTCACTGTTTAGTTCTGCTACTACAGAGCATTTAACTGGTAAGCTGACTACAGACTCTTCCTCTGCTACACTCCTTGTTTTATCAGTATTCATGTACACAATTTGACCTCCTTTCTGGTCACATTCCTCATACGTAGGAGTCAACATGAAGTTATCTGTCTCCTCCTTCAGTTCCGGCAGCTCTTCTTCCTGGCTGGTGGAGAGTTCCTCCTGTTCATCTTTAATATGTGGCAGCTCTGGGTTCTCTGGTTCCAATGTGAAGTCCTTCTCCTGGTTACAGAGGCGCTGGTCAGTGACAACCTCCTCCTCTTCCTTACATTTGGCATGTTGTTGTGGAAGCTCTGGAGGGTCAAATGATTTAGGTTACTAATGTCATAGTAAAAAAAATTAACCATTGTGTCACGCTCAAATTTTCATTACTCAGCCAGGCTTTATAGGTCTGATGGACCCAATGAATTTTAGGGGTTTTTAATTCAATACAATCAAACATTTTATGTTAAAATACTCAACAGATGTTTGCTACATCCCAATTACAAGCAATATAAACAGCATATATGGTTAACATTTGCCCTTTACCTTTGTTAGATCACATTTATGAATTAATGTGTTGCTACTAATTTTTGTTTCAATTATAATCAAGATATTAGAGGGGGGGAAAAAAAATCAACAAATGAAGCAAGATTTTTCATAACTTTAGATTTTTATTTGAAACCTCATTAGAAATGTAACCCATTCAGGTCAGTTTACACAAAACAAGCTGAACACATACAGTAACCATCTCAGTCTACACACATCAGCCCCACTGAACACATACCAACTTATATAACACATGCGGGGCAGAATTTTACTGTGTGTTTGTTGCATATATACTTGTTGCACTTGAAGCATGTATATTGCGTTTTTCTGTCTTTCTGGGGTCCACACACTTTGCAGCGCTTCTTTTTGATTTTGTTGGCCGCAATCTAGAATAATGAAAAGATCAGGAATTTTACTCTTTCTCTCGCAAAGCATGAGTGTCAGACATATACTGCAACAGCATCACACACTTACCTTAGGCTCTGCAAATGGTGGAGCTGGCTGCTGATGGGCTGGTCCTGGGGCTCGTCTTCGTTTTGGAGCTGGCTGATGCTCAATCTCATCCTCTTCTTCAAACTTATTGCCAGACTCTGAATATTCAGAATGTGAGGATCACATTTCTGAACCTCTTCCTCTACATCATCACCAAAAGCTTCTCTCTCTTCCAAAATCAATTCCAAGGCCCTCTGAGCAGAGAATCTTTTGGCCATCTTGATCAGCTGTGATAGCAGTTGTGGTAAGGAACCACACTGGCAAAGCTATATTTATTGTACCTGTCCTGCCCCCAATTTGCAGAGTCTGGGGAGCTGTCTTGTGACCACAAAACAAAGGGCAAGATGTGGAGGGAGTTGAATTATGCAAGACACACTTATATTATCCCCGGGTACAGTGGACCCAAACATCAGGATAATCACCTTTATTTGGCCAAGTATGTTACACAAGGAATTGGTTTCCAGTACAGAACCGAGGCAGCCATCTGCGGCGCCAACGCAACTAATGGCTCTAACCGTCAGGGGCAATGGGGGGTTCAGTGTCTTGCCCAAGGACACTTGGACATGTGGACTGCAGGCACCAAGATTTGAACCTCTGGTTGGGAGGCAACTGCTGTACTCACTAAACCACAGTACCCCCCCACCGCATGACAACAGTAAAAATGGAAACATTTTGAGCTTCATGAACGTAGATGTTAAGGCATAAGTGTTGAACTGAACTGCATACAACTGTACACGTGTACCAATAAAGTAGCCGGTGAGTGTATATTTAACCCAAAAGGGGATAGGGTTATAAAGTGTTACATACCTATCCCGAGGGACTTTATTTCAGGTTTGCAAACTTTTTCCAGTAGTTTTCGCTGACAAGCGATCTCATCCTCACTGTCACTTTCCTCATATTTAGGAATCAACATGAAGGTATCCGTTTCCTGCTTCAGTTCCAGCTGCTCCTGACTGACGGAGAATTCCTCCCGTTCCTCTTTAATGTGTGGGGGCTCTGGGCCCTCTGGGGGCAGACTGAAGTCTCTCTCCTGTTTACAGAGCTGCTGGTCAGTGAGAACCTCTTGGTCGCTGCAGGCATGCTGCTGTGGAAGTTCTGGACGAGAGGTCTCATCTTCGTACTCTGTAGACATCTCCAACTAGCCTACTCTAGCTAGCTAAATTTTCAAGGAACGCAACGAGCACGATAAACTCACCCAAGACACGACAACGCCAACATTAACACAAACCGCAACTGGTTATTTAGTTGTCACTATTAGAGCGAACTGCTACCACAGGGTGTAAAGTCAGTAGTTAAATAAACGCACCGACATCCAAAAAAAAGAAACACATTACGCATTCATGAACCCCAACAACAGCTCTTCCACTTCTTCCCGTTCTCCATCGTCGCTCTTCTTATTCTTTGGTGTTTTACGACGTTTGGTTTCCACAATACCGAACTAGTGCCACCTTCTGGTTGTAATAATTAAAGTTAGTCCTAATCAATGTCCCGTCAGACTATTCGTTTCCAGTTGCACTCAAATACTGAAAGATAAATATTGTACCCTGTCCACTGATAATCCAGTTTTCTCTAACTCTACTATTTTCGCATTTCCACCGTTTATGGTGTGTTCCTGCCTGAGATGATGTGTAGCCTCTGCTTCCTCACTGCTTACAGTGACCTTTGGGATGTTTCCCCATAATGAACAGTGTGTTGTTAAGATGATTTGATTCTCACTGTGTTCCATGTTACTTGCTCTTACCTGTTTTCTCACCAGTTTAGCCCAGTGTAAAGCAACCAGTACCACACACTCAAATAATTTGTGTTTCTGACACAAATCTCTGCCTGGTGACTGGGTACTGGCATTGCTGCATCTGTCTGTGAAAATGTGTACAAATTCAAAATATTTTTTTAATCAGTGCAGCTTCCTAGTACTTTTATCACTAAATTCGAATAGCTAATTCCAATTTGACAATAACCAAAACGGTACAGCAGCCAACATCAGGGTGAAACTTCAGGCCTTACAGTGCCCTAGTGGCCAATTTGTCACCTGTCCAGGTGTCTCCTTTTTCTCCAACGTGCCTATCCAACTGCACTGATTGGCATGAAAGTTTAACAACAGTTTCTCATATTGAAGGATCTGACATAACCTCAGGTGGGAAGCAAGGAAACTGCCAAGTCATTGGAAAGAGGCACTGGTGATGCCTACAGTATAAAGAAGCCAGGAAGGATACAGACTAATCACACTAAATTCTCACTGAGGTAAGGTGACAGATGGTAACTGACAGGCTAAATGATCTTTTGGAAAGTACGGGATCTATCATTTTTCCAAATGTACTTTGACCTTAGAAATCAGTAAAATGAATGGAAGATTTCAGTGTGTGTAAAGGACATGCAGTTCTCAGGCAGCTTCAGTGTGACACCATCACAGATATTTGACCTCATAAAAATAAAATTAATCACAGACATACTGAATTAAAGTAAATGTATAAAGCACTTACAATCGACAGTCTCCAACTTAAGCATTTTTTATACACATTGGACAAAAATCATTTTGCTAAATATATATATAATTTTTTTTTTTTTACACAGTTGTGTTACTTAGCAAGTTGCCACATACAAGTATCATGAAAACACACACACACACACACACAATAGTACTAACCACACACACACAATAGTACTAACCAGTCTAGTGAGCACTTAACAACAGTTGCAGAGAAAGTAAATACAAGACAGAAGAATGCTATGGAACAGTCCTGCACTTCAGTCTTTTTGCTGCAGGACAGACACACTGGTTTGTTTAAAGGCTAGCAGCCTTGCATGTCAACCTATAGACCTGTGCAGTTCATCTTTATAACAACAGGGATATTCCCCATAATGATGATGATGTTGCCTGAAAGAAACCGGTGGCTTAAAAATCTCGTCAAATTTCATTCATAGTTGATCTGCTATTCTAATCACCATATATTATGGCATTGTAATGTTGACAGAAACACATGATATGAGGAATATATTCTACAAAATCATTTAGGCACTAATTAAAGTATGCGCTCCTAACATTTGGGTTGACATTGTTGTAGTTTTAAATCAGACTAAATAACCAGCATTGATAAACACATTAACATTCTGACAACATGATGTAGCACATCATCTACACTTTGTGTGCCAACATCTGAAGCCCTAAACAGCACCACTTATATCAGGTTACTCATCATAAAATACTAAATATAATTGAAAGAAACACTGAAGACAAAAATAGTTTGCATGAAGGTAATATAAGTGACCCAACAGTACTAGAATGATTCTCATCGCTGAGTTCACAATCCACCCATACTCTATAACTGAGATAGTGTATGCAAATGATAATAAAAAAAATTAGGTCAACCATTTACATTTGTAGACACCATATACACTGTGAAGCAAACATTTTCTCAAGATTTGGGAAATGACATTTCAAATAAGTTATGTTACAAACAGAAAAATGTGTAACATCATTA